CTGGGGACACAGGGACAGCACTGGGGACACACGGCACAGAGCTGGGGACACAGGGACAGCACTGGGTACACACAGCACAGAGCTGGGGACACACAGCAGAGCACTGGGGACATGGCACAGTGCTGGGGACACACAGCACAGCACTGGGGACACAGCCACACGGGTCTCAGCTTCTCGCACCCGTCCCGTTGCAGCCCCCACAGGGAAGCTGGACGCCTGGTGGGGGGCTCAGCCGGCCGGGCCCGGGGGGCGGCTGGAGGTGCAGCTGCGCTGGAAGGTGAGCAGGGGCGGCCGGGGGCATTCCCGAAATTCCTGCAGGGACTGCCACCCACACGCCCTGCCCGCACCAGGTCCCACGGCAGCGGGACGCCAACGGGCGAGTGCTGGGCTACCGCGTCACCCTGAGCCCCCGGAGGAGGGGCAGGGACCCCCCGACCATCTGCAACACCACCCACACCCAGTGCAACTTCTCGGTGCCCGCGGCCACCAGGAGGGTCTACCTGTCAGCCTACAACGCCGCCGGCGAGTCGGCGCCGACCGAGGTCATCCTGCTGCAGAGGAAAGGTGAGAGCAGTGCCCGAAACCCCCGCGCATCCCCCGCGGCTCTGCTCGCTCCGAGCAAGGAGAGGGCAGACTCCAAACCCGGCTGCACAGAGGAGGTGCTCCCCTCTCCTGCCATCCCGGCTGCTTGTCCCACGCAGGGCAGCCCCTGGCCGGGCTCCGGGCTGTGCCCGGCGGCGAGCGCAGCCTCTGGGTGCACTGGGAGGCACCGCCGGCCCCGGTGATCGCCTACGTCCTGGAGTGGCAGCGGGTGACAGCCGAGCCTGGGCACTGCAGCGCCTGCTGGCAGATGGAGCGTGACGGGACTGCCACCAGAGCCCTTATCCAGGGTAAGTGGGGGCTGCCAGGGAGCCCTGACCCCCTGCTCAGCTGTCCCAGGGGGCTGACACCCATCCTGACCAAACCAGGACCAAGGCGTGCCCCCAGCTCGCTTCCCACCCTCCCTCCTCCTTCTGGATGCACCCCCAGGGTGGGTGGGCTGGTGCTGGGGAGTCTCAGCAGCCAGGGCCTGAGCTCCCAGCCCTCTCTGCTTTCCCCTGCAGATGGCATCGAGCCTTTCCAGCGCTACAACATCTCACTGTACCCCCTCTACGAGGGCACGGTCGGGGTGCCCGTGCACACCACAGCCTACTCCCAGGAGAAGGGTACGTGGGAAGGATACCCCACCACCAGGACTTTGCCCTTCCAAAAGGAGGAACAACCTCTTCCCCACCTACCCCAAATCCAGGGGCTGTACTAAAGAGCTCAGCTTGGGGGGCTGGATTTGCCTCATCTCCGAGTGTGCCCTCAGCCCCCCTGCAGCATGGGCAGGTCCTGACGCCCACACTTTGGGAGTGGGACCCCCCCCATCAGTTCCCACCTGAGGCAGTGGCTCTGCTCAGCACTTGGTCCCCCTTGTCCTGCTCTTTCCAGCACCATCCCATGCCCCCAAGCTTCACCTGAAGAGGATCAGCAAGTCAGAGGCTGAGCTATGCTGGGAGCCACTGCCAGTGGAGATGCAGAACGGCTTCATCACCAGCTACACCATCTTCTGGGCCAGCAGCATCACCAACATGGCCAGTGAGTGCTGCCCGCAGCACCATGGACCTTGTCCTCTGTCCCACCTCGAGATTCTGGGTGGAGATACCAGGAGTCCCTGTGTCCTCCTCAGAGAGGGTCAGGGAGTTCTGTGCGCCCCACACAGGGCTCCCTGCCAGCAGATACCTGTGGGGTGTGCTGTGGGGGGCTGTGCAGGTGGGGGCATTCTGCCACACCAACAGCCCCGTGTGTGCCCAGGTGCCACCGTGAATCCCTCCCTCAGCTCCTTCGCCATCCACGGGCTGAAGCCATCGACCCTGTACAAGGTGCACATCATGGCATCCACGGCTGCTGGCAGCACCAACGGCACCAGCCTGACCCTGGTGACCACAGTGCTGGGTGAGGGCTGCGGCCACCCGGGGCGAGGCGACGAGGGAGGGGACCCGCAGCTCCCGGTCCTGCCTCATGGCACAGCACAGCTGGCGGTGCCTGCTGCAGCTCCCTGCGACCCTGTCCCTCTTCCCAGATGACACCGAGATCCAGTTCCTCTTCCTGAGCCTGGGGCTAGTCTTTGTCGGCCTCATGGTGTTGCTCATCTGCTTCCAGAAGAACGAGCGGTGAGTAGCGGAGCCCTGCCCGGGCCGGGCTGCCGGGTGGGACAGGGTGGCCTTGGAGCGATGACATCCCGCCGGGAGCCGGTCCAGCACTGAGGCCACCCATTGCAGCCCGCCTCGCTGAGTCCCCCCATCCCCGTGGTCCCCAGGATGAAGGAGCAGCTCTGGCCCAGCGTCCCCGACCCCGCCAACAGCAGCCTGGGCAAGTGGGTGCCGGCAGCGGCGCCGCAGGTGAGAGCGGGCGGCTGCTCCCCCGGTGCCCACGGGAGGGACAGCAGGGACGGCTGGCATCGCCCGTGACCTCCCGCTGCTCCCCAGGAGCCGCTCCACGTCCTGGCCGCCAGGGAGCCCGGCCCCGCCGCCATCTCCACGGTGACCGTGCTGGAGGGGGAAGCGGGGAAGCAGCCGGGGAAGGAGCCCCCCGGCCCGGCCGCCGCCCCGCCGGCGCTGCCGCGGCCCTACGTGCGGCAGGAGGGTCCCGGGGAGCCCGTGCAGTACGCGCGGGTGGGCGGCGCGGGGTACCGGGGGCAGCGGCTGCTCCCCGAGCCCGCTCCCCGCTTCTACGAGAACCTGCGGGGCCGCGGGGACGGCGGCGGCGGAGGGGATTGGGGGTTCCTGGAGGAGCCCCCCGCCACCTTCCCGCTGCTGCAGGGGCTCCGCATCGGCGGCGCCGAGGAGCTGCACGAGTGCCGGGCGGACTAGCGCGGGCTGGAGCCGGGCGGCAGCTCCGCCAGCGGCGGCCCCGGGCAGCCGGCTCCACCCGCGGGGCTCCGGCCGCACCCCGGGGCGCTGCCCGGCTCCAGCCCGCTCTGTGTGCGTGTCCGCCGCCGAACGGCTCCCTCCGAAATAAACGGGGACGTGCTGAGAACAACCCGGGCGTCTCTGCGGGAAGCGAGCGGGATAGGGATGG